CTCTCTCCCTCCCTCCCTCCCCCTCCCTCCCTCCCTCCCTCCCTCCCTACCTACCTACCTACCTACCTACCTACCTACCTACCTACCTACCTACATACGTGCATAATTGCATACATATACATGCATGCATGCATACATGCTGTTACATACACATAGTTATGTACATGCATTTACATACGTACATCAATCCATACATACATGCATGCATACATACAGACAGATAGACATGCATGGTCCTGAACATGGATATAGTTTTCAGCTGGTTCCCACATTGAGGATCCTGCAGCCGGCACGGGATGGCCCCACAACAGACCGGAACCCAAACTCGAGGGCTCCAAAGCATGTTCCTGTGATTCAAATGGTATTCCTTGGTCAAGCGGTGCCCAGGTCAAAGCCCCCAAGGCTTGCAGCTCCGCTCCACTGGGCTATGGGACAAGCAGGATGATGTCTAGCAATCAGCACCACAGGCACCGGCGAGTGGGGGATGACAAGGCTGCATCGTTGCTCGGCCAATCCATGGAAACCCCATGGATGAGTTGTCAGGTACTTGAGACGGGAGGTGTCTGTAGCCGGATCGGAGCTACAGCCGAATACCCAGTCTCCCTTGACTCGTTTTGTCCACCGCGTGAAGGTCGAAGTGGCAACGCCTGATGCCCTCGACCGCAGAAGGTGGAAGTGCTGTATACTTCTCTGCAAGTCCAGCACAGCAGCGCTAAACAGCTTCTGTCAAGCTATTGTATGACTCGCCAAAATAAAACATAAAGAACCAAGTTGAGCATGGAGCCTGCGCTACTATCACGATCTAGACTCTAGACGACTGCGACCCAAACCGCGAAGTTGACGCCACCAGTTCTAGGAAGAAAACAGAAGAGAAACGGACTGAGAGCCATACCTCCACAGCCGGAGAAAGAACTCGTGTCCTGCTGGGCGTAGTGCTGCAGATTAGTTTAGGGTTTATAGGGTTTAGGGTTTAGGGTGTTTTTACACGCTGATAGCTTTAACTTTAAGATTTCACGCTTCTGGCAACATGGTTCCAACCCTTCGAAAGCCCTGTGCCCAAAGAGCTGATGACATGGCGACCAGGAACTGGAGCTACCAAAGCCCACACGCGACATAGGGTCCTCACCTCCCTGAATCTGACTACACCCACCCCAGATCCCTAAGCAAACTCCTACGTAGACTTTAAGCCCGAAATCCCAGCCCCTCGACCAGAAACTCAACCCCCCCCCCCCCTGAACCCCCACCCCAAACGAAGCCTGTCGAGCAGAGAGGCCACCAATGGAGGAGCCGCCGAGGGATCCACCCAGAAGCCCCGTGGAGGAGCCTTCGCGGCGTCGATTCTTTCGGGATTTGGGGAGTTTTAGGGTTTGTGGTTTAGGGCTTCGATGCGGCGGAGTTCGGGGGAGAACCTGTTGCTCTTTGCAATCTCGTCAGTCATTCACGGAAGTCTTGAAGACCCTGTCCATCCTTTCCATGTTAAAAAGGAAGGGATAAAGTGGCTGTAGCTGTGGCTCTGCCATCGCCCTTCTTTGGTACATCTGAGCACTCGAACTCCCCTTTCCTTACCGAAGTCCGCATTTCCACCATCAAGCCCCTGCAACAAGTGGGCAAAAGGCACCTCCCAGGGAACCACTCAGCAGGCCACTGCCAGAGCTGGTGGCCTCCTCAGACTAGCAGCCGGTCGGGATCCGACTTCGTGTACGAAGCCAACATTGACAGTGCACGTTCATTTCAGCTCTTCCTCCAGCTGGCCCCTGAACAATCAACCCTCCTGGATCATGTCATTTACATATCCTGAGCACCTCAAAGACAATTGTGCCCGTTGAGTAAGATTTGCCCGCAACCCTTTGTAACCAGAAGGACGGAGCAATATCAGAAGGCACGGAAGTCGGGTTTAGGATTGAGGGCTGAAGTAAGTAGCCAGAATCACCCGAAGAGAGGGTATTCAGTTATTTGTGCTGGCAAGTGAAAGAAAGAGCTCTGGGTACGGAGCTTTGTGCCTCGATTGGCTCTTCTGTATGCCCCAGGGCGCACAAATCAGGGCGCAGATATGAAACCCAAAAGTGTCAGGGGTTGTGGAACTCTCAAAGTTTGGAAATTTGCATCGCAATCTACTGTTTCGAGCAAGCCCTGCACAAACTGCCCGGCCTGATGCTGTTGCTGCTGCTGCTGGTGTTGCTGCTGCTGTTGATGTTGCTGCTGCTGTTGTTGCTGTTGCTGCTGCTGTTGCTGCTGCTGTTGCTGCTGTTGCTGCTGCTGTTGCTGCTGCTGCTGTTGCTGCTGCTGTTGCTGCTCGAACATCTTCTGCGACTGCCCCTGGCAAGGCCAGCATGGCTACTTTCCCGCCCAAATGCATTGCTACTGCCGGTCCCGTTAGTGCCGTCACAACATCAAGCAATTGGCATCAAGCCTGTGCGAGAACAGACAGCTGCACACAGTTGGCTTGCCAATCTTTGCCGGCCTGCTTCTGGATAGCCGCGTTCGATTGGTCCTGCGCAAGCTATCGGTGATGCTCGGTGCCTACACCTAAACACTGCTCCTGCTGCTGCTGCTGCTGCCAGCGAGGCCCCGAACACTCTGAATCTCATGTTTACAACAAGTTTACGACTTCGTCGTTGGGCTCTGCTCTGACCGGTATTGCCGTCGCATGTCGCTGGGTGCAGCTTGCACAAAGACCAAGTCGCAAGTGAAGCGTTCATCCTTATTCTGATCGTCAGTACATATGGGTAGTTGTCAAAATTATGGTCCCTTTTGGGGTACCCTAAATAATAGGTGCCGTATTATAATAAGGACCCAAACAGGGACCATAATTTTTTGTAAGGCAAAGGCTTGAGATTTGGTTGCAACAGCTTTGCTGCGACCTTCCAGGAGCTGATCAACATGCGGAAAACCTGAAACGTTAGGATACCCTCGGAAACTTTCGGAACACCCAAGGGAACTGACATTTAACACATCAGAATCTCCAACAAAAGAATCCCCAAACACGTTCAACCCACTTCCTTAAGTTCTCCTCCCAGTTCCAAAAGCCCTTCAAACAGCCCACAAGTTGCCAAACACAGCTATGTTAAACAATGCAAAAGTCTCCAACAGACGCTTTGAACACTCAGGAACTTCACGAAAGTACACGTTTCAAGCTGCAGAACATCTCAAAACCAACAAACTGGAAAGCTAGACAAATAAAGAACATATTGCAATTGCAATCAGATAAAAACGAAAGATACATGCACAACCCAATATCCAAACGCAAGGAACCACCACGAAGCCCGTCCGTATAGAGCTTCTGCACGCATTGAGTGTAGTAGTTCCAGACGTATGTCTGGCAGGAGTCAGACATGACGCAAAGTGAGTGCTTTTGGCACGTTGTGAGCACAGCGAAGAAGGTGACACACACACACACACAGAGATTTTCGCATCATGCCAAAACAGCCTGTTGCAGTCGCGTGTTTTAGCGCTATAGGGAAACGAAGGCGCAGACAAGGACCTAGAGCTAGAGGCCTCGAAGGGTGAGAATTGCGGAACATGGTGGAGTCAGCTGTGTTTACATACGACTTTGGCTATCTTCCGTCCATTTATCTCTCCCAGATTTCTTCACTTCTTGCCGTGAGGTCGAGTGGCGGATTTAGAATGGGCCACAAGTACGTCGCCCTTGCCCGAACTCGAACCCTAAGACCAAGCCGGCTTGTGAGGAATGAAGTCCTGGCCTGGACTGTGTCGGCAGCAGTCCCATTTTGGACTAGAGCTTGACGGTACTGGTTCACAGCCTGGTGGAGTACAAGGCCGTGTGATTGGAGTTGGTTGGTGGATTCGCCAGCCACTGTCGTATCTTCGCAGTATGTTTGTCAAAAATACCTCTTGGCATGTATTGCATCGCAGGATTTAGTCTACCACTTTGTCTGGTCCCCGAACGCCACAAATGCCACGATCTCATGCTGCCCGCTCGATGTTTGGAGCCAGTGGAACGAGGTTTTCAGAGTTCAGCCTGCTGGGAGCACGGCATGTGGGTGCCCTAGAGGAGGAGCCAGAAAGTTGGAGCATCATTATCCTCATGCCCTTAAGGTAAAGTATAGGGGATCCCATCACTAGTCATCCTAAATCCATGTTAAAGTTGGGGTTCACTATAGAGTCAGGTACCGCTTAGAGGTAGCACACTCGGCTTCGGGGGGAGCAGGACTACCGGGGAAGATCTTAGGCTCAGCAGTCTCGAAACAGACCCAACGCCTTTGCGAAAGGCAAAT